ATTATTCAGTGAGATGGGGACAGACGGGGCATGAGAATCTGACTCTTCTTCAAGGGTGCTGAAGAGCTGATCTTGGGTCTCCACACTTGCATGGGGAGCATTTACCCACAGCTGTCTCTTCAGAGTCTTTCTCCCCAGGCTCTTCTAGAGCCTAGAACTCAGCACGGTTTCCAGCTCCCACCCCCCACTCCCTGACTGCCTGGGCTCTCCACATCCCACCTGCTCCCACCTCCCACAGCATGGGCATCCTGAGTGCTGGGTCGGATCAGGGGACACGCTATCTTGTTTGAGGTTAAAGGTCTCAGGTCTTGGCAGGTGGCAAGTGTTAGGAAAATATTTATTTATTGGATGCACGAAGGAATGAGCAGCCATTGCTGTGAACAGTAAATAACAGCTAGGCTTCTGCTGCTGGCTGTGAAATAGAGATGGGAATGTGACGTGGGAGTCACCCTTCCCTTCCAGACAGCGAGTCAGGATGGCTGCCAGCACCCTTGTCTTCTTTCTTTCTATCTTCCTATTATTATTATTATTATTATTATTATGGACAGGGCCTCTTTATGCAGTCCCAAGTGTCCTGGAATTTGCTCTATAGACCTTGAACTCACAGAGATCCTCCTGCCTCTGCTGGCATCAATGGCGTGCTCCACCATGCCTGCCCTGCATCTTTGTTTTCTTGTCTCAAACCTAAGCTGACCCCAGTGTGGTCCGGGGAAAGTGGCCTGACCTAGAGACAGCTCTGGACACGCCAGATCTAGGGTGGCTGTGTTATGAAGGTGGTCCAAGGGGAGCGGTTCCTTCTACCTCTTGCTGGCCAACCCCTGTGGATGGATGCTTCCCTTTCTGAGCCTTCATTTCCTCACCTCCCAGATGAGCCCCGGTCATTCATGAGCCATGGGCTGCATGAAGAAGGAAGGGAGGATTGAACAGCCCTATGAGTCTGTCTTGGCTGTTTTTGTTGTGAGTCTGTCCCTTTAACAGGGAGGAGGGGCCAGGCCTTGGTGGCTGGAGGAGGCTGATCTAGTGGCCTGTGAATGCAGGTTGGTCCTGGCTGGGCAGTAGGCTGTGCTGGCCGGGGAAACTGTGCTTCGGGAAGGTAAGGGTGGCATTGTGGGAGTGGCTGTAGGCTGTGGGGGTGAGGGTGGCTATGATCGCAGTAGCACACGTCCTGTCTTGTCCAGGAGGCGGGCGCTGAGGACCGTGAGGGTGGCTACCAGGTTGTGCAGCCTGAAGGGACAGTCAGTCTGGCTTTCTAGCCTTTTTTCATGATTCAGCTGTTGTATGCCACCCGAATGGCCTCTGGGGAAAAGCACCCCAGAGCTGTGGGGGTTGGGATGAGGGCTGGAGAGAGTGAGCAGTGCTTATAAATGAGTTCCAGTGAGGAAGTCACAGGGCTCCCTCTCTGCTGCCACACTGATGAGTGGACCAGTGGGGTCCCTAGGCATTGTCTCAGATGGGTCCCCACCCGACGGCAATGAGGTTGCTGTCACCAAGAGGGACATAGAGGCCTGGGGACAGCTTCAGCTCTTTTTTGTCCCTGCTTTTCTTTGTTTTTCAAGTCAGGGTCTCTCTATGTTATCTTGACTGTTCTGGAACTCACTCTGTAGACCGGGCTGGACTGACTCGAACTCACAGAGATCCCCCTGCCTCTGCCTCCCTGGTGCTGGGATTAGAGACATGTGCCACTGTTAGCCGGCGAGGATAGTTGTCAGTGAAGTACCGAATGGCCTCGTTTTTAATAAGTGACGACGATGATGATGAGGAGGAGGATACTGATAACCCTGTAGTTGAGATGTCACACAGTGTTGAAGCGCACACCTACACCTGTGTTTAAATTCTGAGCCATGTTTCCTGACCTGTGGCCTTGTGTACCAACCGCTCTGTGTCCCTAGTTATGAAATGGGGTTAAATACAAGACTCTGTCAGGGCTTCTCAGTGTATTCTGAGATAAATAAGGAAGGTGCTGGGCATGGTGCCCGGTTCCCAGCAAGCCCCAGACAACAGTTAACGCTTATCAAACCACACCGGGAAGAGTGGGCACCTTCATTTCATGGCTGAACTTAATCCTCATGAGGGCCCTGCGGTGTACAGCCCTGCATCCAGTGTGTAGCATAGTTCATGCTTAGCTCACTCATATCTTTCTGGACCAAGAGGCCTTTCTTGGCTCCATGCCCAGAAGAGGCCATTTTGCTCATCTTTAATATTCACAGTTTCCTATTGTTTTGTTGGTTTATAGTAGATCACATCAAACTACAAGATGGCTCCAAGGTAGGTGGGTGTCTGTCTTCCCCACTGTGCCGTCCCTGGGTCTCAAGCCCAAGCCTGGACCTTGATGGTGCTCTCTAGGCATGCGCGGTAGGGTGTGCACAGCCTCATTGGTAGAAGGTCCCAGCAAGGGAACCTGTCTAGAGGATTCAGCCTGGAGTGTGGTAATGTGTGCCAGTGCACAGCTTGGGAGTTGGAGTGTGTGTTACAGAAGAAGAAATAGGTTCAGAGTGGTTGAGACACTTACTTGGGTCACACAGCTGCTTTTTTGAGTTTGATCTCTGGTTAGCCCCCAAATCTGTGATTGGGGGTTGCAAGACTGACCTGTGGGTCAAGCCAGGCTATGAGGGATGACTTAGTTAGGGTTACTATTGCTGTGAGAAACACCAAGACCAAAGGCAACAAGAAGGAAGCATTTATCCGGCTCACACTTCCCTGTCATTATTTGTCACCAAAGGAAGTCAGGGCAGGAACCCGGAGGCAGGAGCTGATGCAGAGGCCATGGAGGGTGCTGCTCACTGGCTTTTCCCCCATGGCTTACTCAGCCTGCTTTCTTATAGAACCCAGGACCAGCAGCCCAGGGGTGGCCCCACCCACAGTGGGCTGGACCCTCCCCCATCAATCATCAATCAAGAAAATACATGACTGGCTTACCCACTGGCCTGTCTCTTCTCAGTTGAGGCTCTTCTCTTCTCAGTTGAGGTTCCCTCGTCCAAAATGACTCCAGCTTGTGTCCAGCTGACATAAAAACTAGTCAGCACAGGGAGTTTGGGGACCAGGCACGGCTCATAGGCCCCCTTTCCTGTGACAGGTGCTGAAAGAGACCGAGGGTCTACTCTGTCTGGGGAGGTCCAGGGCCACCCTGACAAAGGGTCAGTAAGAAAGGGTTGAGGTTCAGGCTTGGGGACTGGAGGAATAGGGTGCAACTCGCCTCTTGGTGGCCGACCTTAGAACTGCAAAGGGCCTCACCCCCCCCCAAAAAAAAAACCCAAAAAACAAAAACCAACAACAAAAACACAAAAGGAGGGTAGGTTTTATTTTTGGTTTTTCCCCTTTTCTTTGGTGTTTGAAGCAAGGCCTTCCCAATCCATAGCTGAGAATATAACCTCGAACTCACTTTGTAGTCCACGCTGGCCCTGAACTCTCAATCCTCTTGCCTCAGTTTCCCGAGTTTGAGTGCAGGGATTACAAGTGTGAGCACCACCCAGCTTGTTCCTTTTTCCAACATTCCTTCCCTCATTTCCTATTTACTTGTTTTATTTATTTATCTACAGACAAGATCCCTTTATGTAGCTCTGGCTGGCCTATAACTTGCTTTGTAGACCAGGCTGGCTTGGCATCCATAGATCCTCCTGCCTCTGCCTCCTGCCTGATGGGATCAAGGGCATGTGCTACCATGCCCATCTTCCTCCCCCTTTTAAAATTGTATTTATTGACAGTGTGTGTGGGTGTATGTATGTGTGTGTGTGCATGAGAGAGAGTATGTATGCTTGTGTGCGACTGTGTATGTATGTGTATGAGTGTGTACATGTGTGTGAGTGTGTATGTGTGTGAGTATGTATGTATGTATGTATGTATGTGTGTGTATGTATGAGTCTGTGTATATGTATGTGTGTGTGTATGAGTGTGTGTGTGATTGTGTATATGTATGAGTGTGTGAGTGTGTATGTGTGAGTGTGTGTGAGTGTGTGTGTGTGTATGTATGAGTATGTGAGTGTGTATGTGTGAGTGTGTGTGTCTGAGGGCGACACTATGAACTTGGTTCTCTCCTTCCACCTTTAAGTGGTTCCTGGGGATCAAACCCAGACCATCAGGCTTATGAGAAAAGTAGACACGTAGTATTTGTTGAGCCATCTCACCAGACCTTTGCAATCTTTTTGTTGTTGTTGTTGGTTATTCGAGGCAGGGTTTCTCTGTATTGCTTTGGAGCCTGTTCTGGAACTCGCTCTGTAGACCAGGCTAGCCTTGAACTCACAGAGATCTGCCTGCCTATGCCTCTCAAGTGCTGGAATTAAAGGTGTGCGCCACCAACGCCCGGCCTTTTGCAATCTTATAAAATTTATTTTTATGTGTACATGTGTTTCTCTGCATATATGCCTGCACACCATGTGCAAGCTGTGCCCAAGATGGCCACAAGAGGGCATCAGACCTCCTAGACTGGGCGGGGCACCATATGGGCACTGGGAACTGAACCTGGGTCCTTTGCAAGAACATTATGTGCTCTTAACTGCTAAGCCATCTCTCCAGGCCCCCCTCCCATATTTTTGTTTTGAGACAAATCTTGTGTGGTCCTGGCTGGCTTCAAACTTGTTATGCAGCAACATAAAATCATCAACAAACGTAGACCATTGTAAAGCTACATATGTACATTGAAAACAAACAAAAGCTTTCTGGCCAGTGTGATGTCATAGCATTATAATCCCAACACTAAGGAGTTAGAGGCAGGGGGATGGTGGGTCCCAGGCCAGCCTGGGCCGCACATGGAGACCCCGTCTCTCAACAGCAACTACAACAAAAGCATCTTTGCTTTTAGAGATACTAGCCATGGCTGTATAACTGGGAACCAATGACTGGGAAGAGGGCATAAAACTGCCAACGGCAAAGGTAAGAACTAGGGAAGGGCTCTGCCTCCCTGGCACCTGCTTAGCCAGCATTTTTTTTTTAATGGAAAAATTATGAATGAATGAATGAATGAACGAATGAATTTTTATTACTCTTCTGTCACACTCTGCATCTCCAGCACTATGGACAGCCACAGACACTAAGTGAAGGGTACCCAGGACAATCTGTTTTGTTCAGATGGGGAACCAAGGTCCACTTGCCTGAAACTTGAAGCTTGGAAGCTGGATTGGATTTGGGGTGGCCAGGCTCAGGGGCCTTGACCTCCCTTCCACTGTCATAGTTAAGGAATCTGAACCATGTATGTCCCCTTGCAGGTCATCTGTGTGCCACAGGAATGGAAGGAGCCTTGGCAGAGCGTGTCAGGGCAGAGCCTTTCCACAGGGTCACGCCCCTGTTGGAGAGCTGGGCACTGTCTCAGGTGGCAGGCATGCCCGTCTTCCTCAAATATGAGAATGTACAGCCGGCTGGATCCTTTAAGATCCGGGGCATCGGGCATTTCTGTCAGCAGGTGAAGGAGGGTGGGGACAGGGCTGGAGAGGGGAGTGAGGTCCCACGGGGCCAGCGGAGGAGATGGGCAGGAGTGTTCGGTGAGGATGGACACCCAGCCACATCCCACAAAGGCCTCCATGACTAGAGTGACCCCTGACTCCATCCTTTCTCTCTCCAGATGGCCATGAGGGGATGCAGGCATCTGGTGTGCTCCTCAGGTGACCCTGCCCCTCTCTGTTTTACTAGGAGTTCTCAGGACTGGGGTGGGGGCAGGTAGAGCATCCATCAATGTCCAGGGCTTCCCTCCCTCCCTCCCTCCTCCCCTCCTTCCTCCCCTCCTTCCCTCCCTCCCTTCTTCCCTTCTTCACTCCCTCCTTCCCTCCCTCCCTCCCTTCTTCCCTCCCTCCCTCCCTTCTTCCCTCTCTCCCTCCCTCCTTCCCTCCCTCCCTTCTTCCCTTCCTCCCTCCTTCCTTCCTTCCCTCCCTCCCTCCCTCCCTTCTTCCCTTCCTCCCTCCATCCTTCCTTCCCTCCCTCCCTCCCTCCCTCCTTCCCTCCCTCCCTTCTTCCTTCCCTCCCTCCCTCCCTCCTTCCCTCCCTCCCTCCCTCCCTCCTTCCCTCCCTCCCTCCCTCCCTCCTTCCCTCCCTCCCTTCTTGCCTCCCTCTCTCCCTCCCTCCTTCCTTTACTTTCTTCTTTCCCTTGTAAAGGCTATGGGATTCCTGATCCTCCTGTCTCTACCTCCTGGGTGGGATTACAGGTCTTGCACCACCAGGACCAGTTTAGCTTCATCTTTTTTTGTTTGTTTGTCTGTCTGTTTAGACAGTTTTTCTGTGTAGCCCTACCTGTCCTGGAACTCACTCCGTAAACCAAGCTGGCCTTGAACTCAAAGAGATCCACCTGCCTCTGCCTCCCAAGGGCTGGGATTATAAACACATGCACCACCACTGACTAGCTTCATTTTAAGGGTCAACCTCACTCAGGTTGCATCTCAGACAGCCACACACGACCTGTTTTCAGTCCCTTCTCAATACTCTGAAGTCCATGGTGGTCATGAGCGACAGGGACCCGTCTCACAGAAGTTTAAAGCTGTAGGCTCCAAGTTCTGAACATCCTCAGGATAAATGGCTTTCAGACATGGCTGTGTCTAGCCAGCCTCTTCTCTTGCTCTCTCCATCTCTTTCTTTTCCTTCGTTGTCCAAGCCACACAGTAGCCTGGGTAACATACTCACCCTTGAGGCTGGAAGGGGCGAGGAAGTTGCCTTCTCTGGTTGGCTCAATGTAGATCAGGTGTCCCCTCTGCCAGCGGTGGGGAGGGGGCAGATACCCAGGTGGGGCAGGCATGTGGAAATCTGAGGAACTCCTCTCTCTACTGCTCCCAGGGGGCAATGCAGGCATTGCAGCCGCGTACGCGGCTCGGAAGCTAGGCATTCCGGTCACCATCGTGCTCCCGGAGAATACTTCCATGCAGGTGGTGAGGCGGCTGGAGGGAGAGGGGGCCGAGGTCCAGCTGACTGGGAAGGTAAGGAGTGGAAAGCAAGGGCAGAGGGCTGGGGGAGGGGTCCTGAGTCCTCCCTCCCCACCCCATCCCACCCCACCCCAGGGCATTGCCTCCAATTATTTTGGACAAACCCTAGCCAGAACCAGGCTTCGGTCTGGAGAAAAGAGGATGGGTGGGACAAGGCTGTTGCACTTTGAGGGCTGGGACCTCTGGACCTGTTGTCTCACTCCGAGAAGACCACTGTCAGAGGGCTGGATAATGTCCCCCATCCTCAATGACACTTGGTACTAGGACCCTGAAAGGCTGGCAGTTTGATAAGACAAAATGTCTTCAGTGACAGCTGTGTGTGTTCTTGCTCTGAGACCCCAATGAGAAAGTAATGGGGACCTCAGAAGACCCCACCCCTCCCATGAACCATGGTGCCCAAAGCTGCCACTAAGTACTGCACGGTGGAGCCTCCCTGCTCCCTTCCAACCCTTTCTTCTTTCCTTCTCCTCTGCTTCTTTTTGTCTTGTTTTTGCTTTCTAGACTGGCTTTCTCTGTGTAGCCCTGGCTGACCCGGATCTCACTCTGTAGCCCAGGCTGGCCTCGAGCTCACAGAGATCCATTTTGCTTCTGCCTCGCAAGCGTTGGGATTAAAGGCGTGTGCCACCTCCTCCCTTCAACATCCACTCACCCATCCATGGGGTGGGGTGGGGCAGGGCGGGGCATGTCTGTGCCACCCAGGGTTTCCCTAGAGCTCAGGAGGGTTGGCTGACTTATGGTGGGCACAGGTGCCAGTCAGGCACCAGCTTGCCTACATCTATGACTCCACTCACTGTGCACTCCCTTAGGGGGATGGAGGCTCTCACGGGTGAGCTGCAGGGACCCAGCCCGTATGTGGGGTTGGTGTGAGGGACTTGACCCCTCCTGTGGGCCCCACGTAGGCTCCATGTCACCGGCCCTGGGGTCCATTGGCTCTGCCTGCCTGCACACCCTGAGCTGGTCTGGCCCTGCTGTCATATGACATTTGGGTCCCTTTGAGTTCGAGGGACAAAGGTGGTGCCCTTTGTCCCATGAAGAGGTTGCAGTCCTCACCCTGGGAGGTGTGGTCTTCCTCAGGGGAGGCCTTCTCAAGCCCTGAAGGAGACCCCAGTCTCTGCTACCATCTCTGTGGAGTCTGCACCCCAGAGTTTTCCAGGGCCTCTATTTCTCTTTAGGTCTGGGATGAAGCCAACATAAGGGCGCAAGACTTGGCCGCAAGGGACGGCTGGGTGAACGTTTCCCCATTTGACCACCCCCTGATATGGTAAGGCTTGTGGCTTTGTTCCCAGGGTGCCAGAGTGGGAGGCCCTCGCTGAATCAGGGCCTAAAGAAAGGCCCAGGAAAGAGAAGAGCCTTCAAAGCCAGGCAGATGTGGGTTCAGACCTTGCTTCTTGGGAATCGTGTTTTGTGCAAAGCGCCTCATTGCCCGTGCCTCAGTTTCTCCATCCATAGAATGGAAATCGCGTGCCTTGGGGCTGGGTGCAGGCTGCTGGCATTCCCTCACTGCCTACTCATCTGGGAAGCCCACTGTGGCACAGAGAAGCCAAGACACTTGCTCGAGGGCACACAGCTGATCTGGGGCAGAGATGGGGTTCTATTTCCAGAACCGCAGATGGTCCTAAGTCACAGGCTGGTCCCTCTGAACCCTCCCTGAGAAGGATATTTCTTCCCAACGTGGGGAGGATTGAATGAGATAAGGCAAGAAAGAGTCTGGGAGGGCGATGAGACGGGTGGGTGGATGAAGGAATGAGTGGATGGAGAGAGAGCTAGGCCGAAGCAGAGTGGCCAAGGAGGGCTCAGCTGTCTCCGGAGTCACACACTTTGTGCTGTCCCCACCCCACAGGGAAGGCCATGCCAGCCTAGTGCGGGAGCTGAAGGAGTCACTGGGGACCCCACCAGGTGCCGTGGTGCTGGCCGTGGGGGGCGGAGGCCTCCTAGCAGGTGTGGCTGCGGGCCTGTTGGAGGTAGGCTGGCAACATGTGCCCATTGTTGCCATGGAGACCCGAGGGGCGCACAGCTTCAACGCAGCCTTGCAGGCGGGCAGGCTGGTCACTTTGCCAGATATCACCAGGTGAGTCTGGGCGGATCATCTGAGGGGGTAGAGGATGGGGTGTCGGTACCCTATGGTCTGTTTTTCCAAGGTAGTGGGAGTGGGGGCACCCCAAAAATCTGCTTGTTCTGGAATTCTAACACTGTCACGAAGACCCACGTTAGAGGGTATGAAAAAAGCTGGGTTTATGGCTACACCCCTGCCATCCCAACACTTAAAAGGCCGAGGCAGGAGGCTTGAGAATGAGAGTCAAGCCAGAGCTCGCACAGAGAGACACTGCCTCAAAATAAAGGTGGGTGGTGCTGGAGCAGCACAGTGGGTGACGTGCTTGCCGCAGAAGTGTGAAGACTTGAGCACAGATTCTCCACACCAACCGAATCTGGGTGCGGTGGCGGCACATCCCAGAGTTTCGCTGGCCACTCAGCCTAGCAGAGGAGGTGAGACCCTGACTCAAACACATGCGTACACAAGCTGATCCAGTTTCCTAGGGCTGCTGTAAGAAATGACCGAAAACTGGGCCAGGGAGACAGACATGGAGGATGGATAAAGTTCCTGCTTTGCAAACATGAGGACCTGAGTTCAGTCCCCAGGACCAGTGTGAAAGGAGTGCGGTGGTGTGCCTCTGAAGAGGCAGAGGCAGGTGGAGTCAGGCTAATGAGATCCCGTATATAAAAAGAAAGGAAGGAAGGAAGGAGGAAATAAAGGAAGGAAGGAAGAAAGGAAGGAAGGAGGAAAGGAAGGAGGAAAGATGGAAGGAAGAGAGGAAGAAAGGAGGAAATAAAGGAAGAAAGGAAGGAAGGAAGGAGGAAAGAAAGGAAAGAAGGAAGGAAGAAAGGAAGGAAAAAAGGAAAGATGGAAGGAAGAGAGGAAGAAAGGAGGAAATAAAGGAAGGAAGGAAGAAAGGAAGGAAGGAGGAAAGGAAGGAAGGAGGAAAGAAAGGAAGGAAGGAAGGAAGGATGGAAGAGAAGAGAAGAAAGGGAGTTTACTCCAGAGTGGCAGCCCAGCTGTTTAAGCCCTAAGGTGGGTGCATGTCCCCCAGCCTGGCACAGTAGCAGCGCCACATGATATCCACAGATTGCTATTTCTGCAGATAAGAGCAGTCCACACAGGTGGGGTGTTGCATTGAGGGGGTCACCTAGGGACCCCCTTGGCTTTGGAAGGTTCATCTGTCCCATTCCTAGACCCCGGTTCCCTCCTGAACCTTGTTCCCATACTCCATTATGTCATTGTCTCCGATAGGGTTCTATTGCTGTGAAGAGACATCATAGCCACGGCAGCTCTTACAAAGGAGAACATTTAATTGGGGCTGGCTTACACTTTCAGAGACTTGGTCCATTATCGTGGTGGCATGCCTGCAGACAAGACTTGATGCTAGAGCAGTAGCTGAGAGTCCTACATCTTGCAGCCAACAGGATGTCGACTGCGACACTTGGCAGTACCCTGAGCATAGGAAACCTCAAAGCACAGCCCCGCAGTGACACACTTCCTCCAACAAAGCCACGCCTCCTAATTGTGCTACTCCCTATGAGATTATGGGAACAAATCATTCAAACCACCACAGTTACTGAACCCTGGTTTGGGGTAACAGCCTCCCCTCTTCCCTGGACCGGTCTTGTGGCCATTTTGTTTTTGGAGCGGGGGTAACATCTACATGAAGATGTGTGGGACAAAACTATACTCCTCACTTATTCAAACTGCAGTGGTCTTTTTAAACATTTCTGAAACAGGATCTCATGTAATCCAGGTTAGCCTTGAACTTGTTATGTAGTTAAGGATGACCTTGAGCTCCGGATCCTCCTTCCAAGTGCTGGTATTATAGGCATAACCCACCATGTCCAGTTTATGGAGTGCTAGGGATAGAACCCAGGGCCTTATGCATGCTGGGTGAGCACTAGACCCACTGAGCTAGAATCTTTTTTGTTCAGTGCTAGGAGCGGAGCTCAGGGTTTCTTATAGTGCCTCACTGAGACAGTTCAAGGCCAGCCTGGACTATGGTGCTCTGCCACTGAGCCCCACTTTCTTTGTAGCTCAGGCTGGCCTTGAACTATCTCTGTAGCACACTGAACCCCACCCTGTTACATGACTCAGCCTCAACTTGTGCCCATCCTTTCCCTTCTCCCAATCCTGCAGCCAAACTCTAGGCTCTCCCTCCATCCCTCTGCTCTTGGTATGCAGGACATCTGAGCATGTCTGGGCGCCCTGACAGGGACCTGTCCTTCACAGGATGTGGGTGGGTGAGCTGGGGCCTGAAGGGTGGAGCTCTGATGTGTCTGCTCCCTTGCAGTGTAGCCAGGAGCCTGGGAGCCAAGACAGTGGCTGCGCGGACCTTGGAGTGTGCAAAGGAGTGTGAGATCCTCTCTGAGGTGGTGGGAGACTGGGAGGCTGTGAGAGCTGTGCAGAGATTTCTGGGTGAGTGAGACCCAGGTCATCCATCTGTCTACATCAGCCGTGTCCCCGGCATCTGTGACAGGGCTGGCTGGGCAGTGGTGACATCATGGGGTGTGTCCAATAGTGATGTGTGGAGGGGAAAGTCTTAGGCAGCTTCAGGACATATGCATATGCTCTTCCCACCTTCCTGCCTCTGGATATCCATCCTGGTCCTACCCACTACTGCTTGTCCATGGTGATGACTAGTACCTTCTCCACGAAGCCTCCCTGATCTCCCCACACCACCTCACTAACTAGAGATTTCCAATATACTAACCCCCCTGCCTACAGCTGCCTGGTTTTTAATCTACTGTTGGGGTGTGACTGGGTGGGGGTTGGGCTTTGTGTCTTGGCCACTGTTATGTCCCTAGGGTCTTCTAAGCATGGATGCAGGCAGAGAGTGAGGTATTTGTTGAATGAATGGATGAGTGTATAAGTGAATGGAGAAAATGAGTAATGGATGGATGGACAGTGAAGGAGAGAAGGATGAATGTGTGTGTGGGGGGCAGGTAAGTGGGGATGGGTGGTTGTGTGGATGGGTGGGTGGGTGGATGGATTGGTGGATGGGTGTAAGTATGTATCTGTGGGTGGGTGGATCGATTGGTGGGTAGATGGACACACTGATGAGCAGGTTGATGAATGAACGATCGCATGATGGGTAGGAGATGGTTGGATGGCTCTTGGCTGGCTGGCTTTACAGACAAAGGCTACACTGATGGATGGACAGAGAGATAGCCAAGTGATGGAGTAAGGAGTCGATCTGTAGAAAATCAGAGCTGTGATGGCAGAAGGGGTAGATGGATGGATGGGTGGGTGGGTGGACGATGGTTGGATAGATGGATGGATAGATGATGGATGATGGCTGGATGGATGGATGATGGATGGTTGGATGGATGGATGGATGATGGATGGATGGATGGATGATGGATGGATGATGGATGGATGGATGGACGGACTGGCAGAATAGACCCTTCCTGCTGTGCACTGACTGACAGCCCTTCCTCCCAACAGATGATGAGCGCATGCTGGTGGAGCCTGCCTGTGGGGCTGCCCTGGCGGCTGTATACTCAGGCATCTTGGGGAGGCTTCAGGCTGAGGGCCGCCTGGGCTCCCCCCTGACTTCCATTGTGGTCATCGTGTGTGGTGGCAATAACATCAGTATCCAACAGCTCCAGGAGCTGAAAACCCAGCTGGACTGCAGCTGAAGGCTTCCGGGGACCCCAGAGAGGCTCCTGGATGCCTTCATGTCCACCCAAGGGGTCTCAGTTCCATCTGTCTGGCCCTCTTCCTTCAGGTAGCCCTCTTGGATTGCACCCAGGGGATCTCTTAGTCCAGTGAATAAACCTTCCTGAGCCGAGTGTGTGGTTTCCACAGGTTCTGTGTTTTTATCCCTTGGGGTACACAACCCTGAAGCTGATTCTCAGACAGTGACCCCATGTCACAGCATGAGTGGCTGCGTGGAGCCTTGAAACACGTCCCTCCCTGGAGGAGATGATGTCACCTCCTTAACTGCCAGGGACTTTTATAAGAGCTTGAGTCCTTCTCTACATCAACATTCACCAAGGCCCTTGACAGCAAGTCCCTGTGTGTATGTGTGTGTAAGTGACATAATGCCCCAAGGTCACAAAACTGGCATGCGACTCAGCCAGGTGCAGACACTATTTCTCAGCGTCACTAGGTTATGTCAGCATGAGTGGCATGGCTGGGGGAAGAGGTAAGAGTGGAGTTCTGTGTCCCCTGCTCCCTTGGGAGTGGGTCAAGGCCTTCAGCTCTAGAAAATGTCTTAGGAAACATTAACTCTTGGAGCCACAAGGGGGCAGCAGAGTGTCTCCTATAGGGAAGGAGTCTCTTGTGTCCCTACAACCCTGGAGTTCCCTTTAGCTCTTTCCCAATTGGGGTTCTAAGACCCCAGAGGGGTCTGGGACACATCTTGTCTTTTTGTTGTTGTTTGTTTTGTTTTGTTTTTCCAGACAGGGTTTCTCTGTGTAACAGTCCTAGCTGTCCTGGAACTCACTCTGTAGACTAGGTTGGCCTCAAACTCAGAGATCCACCTGCCTCTGCCTTCCTAGTAGTAGGATTAAAGGTGTGCGCTACCAACTCCTGGCATACCTTATTTTTGTATGGGGTCTTCTGATTCTCCTCACAGACCCCCAGGTGACAGAGCTCAGCTTGGGGAGTCATGACTCACCTCCTCCCTCAGTGGCAGGATTCAGACAGCAGTGACTTCGTTTTCAAATCTGCTGCCTGCACTGTATTCCCTCCAGAGCCCCAGACCTGGTCCTCACTTGCCAGCAATCCCTCACCAGACACCTGGGACCCAGTTCCTGCTTCCTTGGCTCCACGATTTGTGAAATCTGCCAGGATAGAGACTTTGGGGCTGTGAGTCCTGGAGCTGGATGCAGCCAGACCTGAGTTCATATTTTTTGTTTGTTTGGTTTTATTTTATTTTATTTTATTTTATTTTTGAGACAGGGTTTCTCTGTGTAGCTCTGTCTATCCTGAAACTCACTCTGTAGACCAGGCTGGCCTCGAACTCACAGAGATCTGCCTACCTGTGCCTCCTGAGTGCTGGGATTAAAGGCGTGCGCCACACCACGCAGCCTGAGTTCATCTTTGTTCTTGCTAATTATCCAGGGCACCCTGAGAAGATATTCCCTCACTGCTTGCTCTCCATGTCCCAGTGTTCTGGGCTGTGACATGGGCTGATGGGGATGAGTGACTGTGGACCTGCTGTGTGTCTCAGGGCTTTGAACCAGTTTGTCCCATAATGACCCATGCCATACAGAAATTACTACCTACATTCAGGCGAGGAAACTGAGTCAGAACAGTTGACCCCGTGGGCTGGGCCACAGCTTATACACGGAATCTCCACTGTGCCCCCTCCCTCGCAGGTGTCCCCTGTCTGCCTTGCTGTCCATGCTTCTGACTCATACATCCTTCTAGCCTGGCGTGAGTACCTGCCTCCTCCCTGAACCCTCCCAGGACTGTCCAGGTCCTTCTCCTGTCCCTGCACCTGAGTGGCAGAGGCTGTCTCCCGTCCAGGTGCTGGGGATCCCAGGCAGCCCTGGCCTGGCCTCCGCTCTGTGACTGTCTCTCTTGGGAGTCATGTCAGCTGCTGTTTGTTCCTTGCCCCGGTCTTTGGAGCTGCAGATAACAGCCCCAGAGGACTGTTGACTCACCCGGATAACATGTGTGCCTCTGAGCTCAGTTTAGCCCCTCTGGTTGACACCCAAAGCATCTGAAAGTAGGGAGGGTGGAGAGAGTCAGGGGATAAAGGAACGGGGACACCGCAGACTTGCTGTGGCAGTGCCAGGTTCGGTGGGTGGATGACTCTGCTGCCTCTGGGCTCTCCACTGGGAGAGTAGAGCCTGCGAGGGGGCTGGAGTCAGAGGGCATTTGCCTGGGGCTGCACAGGGCCACTGCAAACCTGTGTCTGTGGGGGTGTGTTTCTGCTCACATGCATCTACTGGCTTGCCTGTGATTCCCGCTGCCCCTTCCTCTCAGCTACCGGGATTCATCCAGACCATTGCAGATGTCTTACAGACATCCCACCTTCAAGCTTTGGCTGGCAAAGGGGCTGTTGTCACCCTGAAGCATGCGGGAGGAGGGAGGAAGGCAGAGGCAGGTGACCCTTTCAGCTGGGGTGGTGTCATTGAGAAATGGCACCCGAGGTTAACCTCTGGCTTCCACATGCCTCTGCGCATGCACGTGCTCACACACACGTGTACTCACACACATGCATGCATACATACATACAATGTGTTACTGATGGGGCTTTTAAAGAGAGGTGGAGAATGTGGGAAAGTATGTGTTGGAGAGACCATACAGGCCATTTTATTGGATTGGACTATTTAAAGGAGTCTCGAACTTCAGCTGGGCTAGCTCATAGCTAGTTACATCTATGAATCTTTAGTAGATAAGAGGGGAAGCTGTTCTTATTTTTTTTTTTACAGCACTGGGGGGGGGGGCGCAAAGCCAAGCCTTACACCTTCTAGGCAAGCACCCTACCACTGAGCCACATCCAGCTTGGAAAGGTAAATTGTGCACTGAGGCCCAAAAGAAACAAGGGGAAGGAAGTAACGGGTCTCAGTAGCGAGCAGCACGTGCAAAGGTCCTGTGGCAGGGTTATATTCCCACGCCCTGCCTCTCTCAGCCCCATGCCTAGCTTAGGTCTCCCTCTTCATCTTGAGCTAAGTTGACCATAGAGTTGATAAAGTGGTGCACTACCCCCCCCCTTAGATTCAGAATCCCCTCCCTATAGGAGGGTAGAGTGGATCCTTGGCTGCCAGAGGGGTTGGTCCGACAGTGTGGAGTTGCACCATGTCCACTGGAGCCTTTGTGCGTGGGAATATGTGAGCCCACAGTGGCTGGCTGATCTGCTCACACAGGGATCTGAAACAGCAGGTAGTGGCTGGGTTCCCAATTAGGGAAAGTCACTGAGGACCCAAGACCTAAGAGCAGACTCCTAGCTAGGCTTTCTTGCCCATGTCTTCCTCAGCCCTCCAGCTATAAATCCCAGCTGGGACTCACCTCCTCTGGCCCTGTGGTCTAAACGTAGCCTCCGCCCTCCCCACTCCCCTCATTGCGCCTCACCGGCCTATCCTTCTCCAGTGTTTGTGCTGTTTAAATGTTTAAATTCCACCAAAAATGTCACAGGCGGGCTCTGCGCCCGGCTTCCAAATTCCCTGATAAATCCAGCGGTTGGCAACCCCTGGAGATGCTTTGTGCAGCAGGGAACCCCATAAATCACCCACTGCCACTCCGGCGTGGGCAATATCTTATGTAAAAAGGTGTTTCCTGGGAGCGCCATGGGCAGGAGAATCCTATTACAGGCCGCCCCATTAATTATAGAGAGTCAAGCAGCCCCTTTCCTGCGATTTTTTATCTTAAGTCCGAAAACTGATTGCCGTTCCCAACCCTTCCCCGCCAAAAAGATCTAAAGAATAAAACCAGTGTTTGAGGAACAAATGGCCAAGCTGCTCCTTTTATAGTCGGAGTGGAGTCCCTCTTATTCTTCGGAGACCTTGCTGGGCCTGGTACAGGCTCTTGTAACTCCAGCCCCCGGAGGCGGGATTGCTAATTAGCTTCGCATTATACCGGAGGGGAACTGAGGCTGGGGTTGCACAGTTTGGGCGATTCTTTCGAGATGTGGAGGTAGGTAGAAGGCAGGCCATGCTCGGTGATGAAAGACTTAGATTCAAATCCTACCTCTCTTTCAGATTTCCCTCCACCTAGTGGGTAGATGAACCCCTCAGAGCCTCAGTTTCTTCCTCGGCAAAGCGGGAAATACGATGTTGACTGCTGCAGGGTGGCCGTGGCGCACACCTTTAATCCCAGCACTTGAGGGGCAGAGGCAGGCTGATCTCTGAATTTGAGGCCTGTCTGGTCTACAGAGTGAGTTCCAGGACAGCCAGGACTACACAGAGAAACCCTGTCTCGAAAAGGAAAGAAAAGAAAAGAAGCAAGCAAGCAAAAAAAAAAAAAAAAAAAAAAAAAAAAAAAAAAAAAAAACCAAAGCAAAATAAAAATTTAAAAGAATACAAAAAACGAATTTAAGAATATAACATTGTAACTGGGACCTGGCCTTATAGCCTTGCTTGCCTTACACTAAGCAGATTCTTCCATGCTTAAAATACTGCTGACTTGTTTGCTTCAAATTTTTATTTTAAAGTTAATTTATCTTGTTTGTTGAGTTTCTGTGGTACCCAAAGCTAGCATCCCTAGGCTGGGGCAGGGAACACCCTCCAACATCCACCCTCCCTGTTGCCCTCCCCTTTCCTTTTAGGTAGAGTCTCACTATGTAGCAAAGCCTCAAATTCACCATCCCCCTGCCTCAGCCTTCCGGAGATTGCAGCTGTGTGCCCCACTCGGTGTCACCCTCTTTTCTTGTCACCTGTAATTATTGCCCCTTCCGTCTCATGGTTACAGAATCTCTCTGAATAGCACAGAATGGCCAAGTCGTCCAGACTGCATCCCCATCCTGCATCCCCAGGGACAGTCCTGTGCACACACTGGGCAGACCACTGGTGAGTAGTTGAATGGATGAACAGGTGAATGAAGAGAAGGCTCAGAGAGACTGGTGGAGGTCTTCAGGATTTCCAGCTGTGGCCAGAGAGGGTGTGTGACCTAGATACTTATAACACAGAACAACTGTGCCAAAGTCAGTCCCAAAATGAAGTGCCATAGGCCAGATATGTCTCCAGTTCTGCACGATGGACCA